GGTAATCGCAATTCCGGCCGAGCCGCGATGCTGATCAAAGACGATAGGTGAAAAGAGGAGAGAGACGAGCGGTATGCGCGCGTCGTCCACGCCTATTTACCGGAGAGCGCACCACTCAAATCTGCATAATAATATTATAATTTACAGAACAAGATATCTCCTCGCTCTCGATAATCCGGCCGCGGGGATGTTGGCGGTGGATGAATGGCGTGCGCGCGCTCAACGAAACGTTTCGCGGCGAGGTGTCCACGCGGCGTGTAAGTATTAATTTTATTTATGCGAGGATGTGCCGCAACCAAGTGGTAATTCCGATAAAACGAACGCACGAATCGCAACGCGAGGTATAAAGCTGTTTCTCGTAATTCGTATGCGAATTATTTGCGATGAGTTTAAATTCTAATGACACTAAACGTGAGTCCGGCCGTTTATCACGCTATTAAAATATCAGGCCGCTCTGACTAATTTCATTTAAGTTTCTGATGCGCGAGTTAAAGGATATTACATACCATATTTTGTAATCGTGCTTAATCGTGCCACTTAAATAGCAATATATTTTATGATGATCAATCCTTATCATCATAAAATATACCTATTCATGCATTCCTCTCGGTCAAGTTATTCACATAAATTCACATAACATGACACAATAGATAACTTTAAAATTCTTTCGAACACATTATCTCCTTTAAAGCACAAATCAATTTTTGGAAAACCGGTAATTATACGCTATCGACCTAATCAAATGTGTAATTATTCGGATCGCGGTCTAGCGGAACGCGTGTTGCATCGCGCAAATTGGATGCACATATTTTACAAGTGCGAGTGATTTAATACCGGTGGAATATACCGGTAGTTAAGCACGAAGTTGCAACAGACTATATCCCCACCTCTTCGTCAATATCGATGTTGCAAAAAGCACAGCGGAAAAAGTGCTCGTTACATTCCGGCCGTGACGCGACACGCGAAGCCGTATTTAAGATGATACCCAACACCTGTCCCTTCCTGTGTTGCCTTCGATGACTTTTGAGAATACTCGAAACGGAATGATATCGATTGCAATGAGCATTTCATTCAAATCTCTGATAAAGGATGAAAGAACCGAAGTTTCTATAATTTTGGATTTTCCTAGCAATTATTATTAATCTTTGAAAAAAACTGGATCTAGTTGACATGATCTGTATCAGAAGCTAATTATACCTGTATGTTCGCAGAATTATGTTCTCATTATAAATTCTCTCAAAATGTTAATTATTTACTAAATTAATATTCATCTGAAATATTCTAAACTAAAACTTGGTTCATTTTAACAAATATATTTAAATTAGTAATGAATAAAAATGTTTAGCACGGCTCGCATTTCTTATTTCTAAAATATTTAAGTTTTCTAACAGTGTAATTTTTCTTTCTTTTCTTGATTACAAATATCGAATACAATTCCTGCAAAAACTTTATAATATCCTAATGCTCAAATATAAATTAAAAATTTTTGCGTGCAATTAAATTTTTTTATTGAGGACACCTCTACGTTCAACCTTCTCTTCTTGTTCACCCTGTTGTAATTACCTTCGGCAATTTACGTGTTACATGTAAGATAAAATGTAAAACGGAGTAATTTGAATAGGTTAACAGAAATTTTGAAATTATATATAAAATCAAGGCCGCATATAGTATGTCCAATTAAACATGCAAAATATACTGTTGATGATTGAATACACTATGCAATCTCAAGCTTTTGTACAATTTTCAAGTTTCTGTTAACCTATCCAAATTACCTCGTTTCACTCTGTCTGAAATTTAATAAGAGAATGACCGACCACTCGCTTAATCGTCTTTCGACGATTAGAAGATAAAAGTTAGTAGACAGCCGCTCGTTTTGCATGACTCGCGTGCGTACACGCGCGCTCATCGCAAGCTACACGCGACACTGCAGGAGTGGCTTGCGGGCGCGCCCTATGCATCAGGCCCACCGCACCTCGCCTGCATACATCTCCCTGTATCAGTGTGTCGATGCACTCAGGAGATCGGCAAATCTAAGATCGTGCAACTGGTGTCCAATGGCGTGTCCACAGTCGCTACACATCGGCTAGCGAGCGAGCCGAGGCGCGCGCCAGCCGAGCGCAAGGAACGAAGAGTGAAGGATTTCGCTTGCTTGTTTGTTTCTTTTAGACGCACCTGCCCTCAGAACGAGAGTCAATACTCCACCAGAATTCTGCTTATATAGGATTACAGAAAGAGCATTTAACGATATAAGGGCAGAATACATAATTATGGACAAAGTCACAGAAGATATATGTTCTTAATCCATTAATGTCCATTTCCATCAATATAGATTAATTTCAACCTCGGTTTAGCTTATTTCTTATACTTGGAACTAAAAAACGATAAAAAGTAGGTTAAACTAAAATTAAAGTTAAGTTATATCGGTAGTAACGGGCATAAATTGGATGCAAATTTCTTAATTATGAAAATACACTAACCTTTTTAAGGAGATATATATGGGACGAAGGCTGGGATCAAACTCGGAATCCGTCGATTACTAATTGACTACGTAATGCAGTCACGCGTCGCCTGAAGTGACGACTAGAGACTCTAATCAGTCTATCATAACAAGGGCTTCGACATTGTTAAATTCGTGCGAGAGAGAGAGAGAGAGAGAGAGAGAGAGAGAGAGAGAGAGAGAGAGAGAGAGCTATATACTTAAAATACAGCTCATTAAAATACAGAAAGGATCGGGTATTATAAAGAAACTATATCGTTTGATAATATTAACATGAATAAAATAAAAATTAAAATAAAATTTTAGTATATTCACTAAACTAATTAACTGATTACGTTTAACAAGAATAAATTTCCAAAAATTGGTCCTAATTGACGAAAACTGTCAAACCATCATAAAGTCGCTATTTTATGTGTATAGACATCTATTGGATTATCACTTCTAATGACAATCAGATAAACGATGCGTTTTAGGTGGATTTGAACCCGGATCTCTGGCGCGGAGAGCAGACGCGTAACTCTCTATGCCACGATCGCCACGAGAGTGAACGATGAAGAAGCCCAGGGAGAAAAGACGACGGTAAGGCCCCGAAGAAGAAGGGGAGAGGTGGAATGCGCGCGGTTCTCGAAGGAGGAGCTGTCGGCGGTGAAAAATCACGCATCCCGCCGCGGCTGGAGCACAGCATCTGCTCTACATACCCTGGCTCTCAACCTATGTATCTACCTACGCGCGCACCGTCGTCGATCGACGACCTGTGAAAATCGCTCAATCGATGACCTCGAAGCGCACCTTCGCACCTGTGGTGCGTGCGATAATCGATTCCCCGGCGCACGTTGTCCGCATGCTCCTCGAAATAATTGTGTCGCACGGGATAATTATAGCTTTCACGCAGATTATGAACGCGCCGTTCTCTTTGCGACACGTACATGCTTTGACAATAAATTTACTCCGTTCTCGAGTCGGGCAAATTCGCTAGAAATAAAGAAACTTTTCCAGCAAGAGTTGAATACGAAAAGACCTAAATCGTGTTACTGCACCGCAAATCTAAGTAAAAAAAATTGGTTCTTCCTGTGAAAATGACGTTACATATACACATAGTACGAGTGTAAATCCAGTTTTGTATAAAGTGCAGTGTGTTATTTTTACACAAAAATCAATTACCACACACCGATATAGTGTAGTCACTTTTTTATACATGGATTTGCAGTGCGTTATATAATATCGCAATATAAGCGTGTAATTAATCAATTAATGTAATGTCATTTCACCACAGATAAATCTGTTCGTTTCATCGTGTATTTTTTTTTTTTTATAAAACATCGATAGGTGAGAGAATCTTGCTCTCTCGCAAATTTTTATCCGCGACTTACGTCACCGCTTCGCTTAATGAATCGTTTCTTGCGTCCGTGCATCCCGAGCTCTATCATGGATAATCGTAGTTATTTTTAAAGCCTCTCGCACGCGATCATTGGGGCTTCCGCGAAGACGCGGGAGAGAGCTCATCAATGAGAACCTCGAAGAATCGGAGTAGCAGAGCAAGATATACGTGTGCTGGCTGAGCTACCGGTCGGTCGGGTTGGGTCGCTGTTCTCCTGTGTTTCATCTCTCTCTCTTTTGCTCTGTTTTGCTCGCTCCTCTCTCGCTGCCTTCCTCTTTTCACCTCCCGGTTTATCCTGCTCGCTTTCGCCCTTTCTATATCGCGACTGCTCCTCTCTGTCTCCGCCGCTGCCGCTCACTCCCGTGAGTTGTTGTTCGGCTGTTTTATTACTTTTATAAATGCCACGATGCTACTACTACCACTTGCTCGCGAATCGGCGCGGCAGGCGTTTCCTTTGTTGGTCGCCACCACGCTCCCATTGTTGCTCACGGAAAGATGCGAATTTTAATTTGATATTGTCTAATATTATTTATGTATGCGGTTAGAGAATCCTGCGGAAGGATGCCGGTCTCACATCTTGTGCCGTTTCTCCCATTCAATGAGAAACCGTAGTCGTATCTATCCCGCAACGACTTAGTTTCACATGGAAGTTCTCGTATGGATTCGTTCTCCGTCGCTCGAATTCGAATTCGCAAACATTATTTGAGCTTTACCCGTTAATTATAATTCTTTCAACACAAAACATATTGCAACGAATATATTATTTAACAATTGTTTAATACGTGTTGTTTAATAATATCGATTTCGACGTGCAAGCACGTGGTTCAGAGCGTTCCCTCGCAAACTTATTTTCCAAGAAAAAAATCTTACCTCCTCCCTTTCCCCCTTAATAATGTCTGACCTATTGTGCAAATATTCTTAGCCGTCCTTCAATATGCTCAAAACCCCGTGGCACATTATCACGTCTCGTTCACCATAAGCGTAATCTAATTACTGGCATGTGCGAGGTGTCCGCCAACGAGGCACAGCTAGACTTGCGCGTACGTGCTCAGTCCACCTAGAGAAATCAATATCACAGCAATCCAGGTTCACGCTACGAACTGCTTTGCACGACGGTACGCGCAACAGTTGCGTCGAGACAAGACACGAAGAGGTACGACAGTCGAACGCATCGTCACGTGCCGACATCCGAGTTATTCGGACAAAAATAATCAGAAAGTGCAGCGCCCTCAGAGTTTCGATCGAGTCCCTATCATCAAATTACATTTTGAATTAGTTGATGTCGCTCTCAATTATAGAAAGCCATGTAACTTCGAATGCCGCCTAATATACCTCGCGTTACTATGGAAATCCACAAAAATAACTACACCGGTCCCGGACCGAAAATATTTAGGTAAACGACGTGGTATACCATATACTCCGTCAAGATGACAGAAAAACGACTGTCGTTGGGCATCAACGTAAGCATTTTGCTGATATTGACGATATTTGGCGTGCTTCTGTCTTTGCCTTTGCGATTGTTGTTCGACACGAATTACTCCGACCACGGAGATAAAAGTGGTGTCAGTGACCCGGGTGAGAAAGGGAGAGAGCCCTTGATACCAATGGATCATCGAAAATTAAGGCGCTGTCCGAATCTGCAGTACGAGGACCGTTTGATGTCCGTCTTTATGAGCGATTACGACGGAAATTGCACGTACGTGCAAGACGAGTGCGACGATGACGAAGATGACGACGATGATGACAGCGACTCTGAAGAGGAAGAGGATAGTAGAGAGGACGATAAGAAGGAGAAAACATACAGGTCCAAGAAGAGCATCGAAGAAATGAAAGAAAGCGCTGAAGAGATCTTGAAGTCGCGTCAAATGAAGTCCGTCACGGTGGCAGGCCACATACTCGTGACGATGTTGCTCGTATCAGTAATAGCTGCCCTCGTTGAAGTACTGCGAATACGCTTCGCCAGAGAAAAAGTATTGCGTCACATATTACAGAAGTCCTTTTAAGCGCTTGCGTTGGAACTTGGTATCCTTAAAGCGTAGGATGTATTATTGAAAAATGTCATTTGAAGAATATACTTTTAGAATCTTCCATTCGCTTCTTGAAAAAGTAGCACAATATAATTTTCGAAAGTTCTCTTAATTATTCAAACGCTCATTTTAAATAAAATCGACACTTTAATTTTATAATTTGGAGATACTTTGTTTTAATGCAAGCAGTTAATTACTATCCTTAATTATTTGAGCACATTATGCACGACTTGCACTCAACTATATCTCCATATATAAGTTTAAACCCAGATTGAGCTAGATTCTTTGTTGTTTGCACCATTGGGGAATTAATTGCGATATTCGGCAGAGACCGACGGGATAAGCGCTTCGCTGTTTTCCTTGCGGAGCTAGTAAAAACCGTCTCTCGATGCTCGGATAGACACGCATTCGTGAAACTATTGCACCTTCTCTTTTCAAAAATGCATAAGGATTCGTCTAGGGCAGGCACGATTATTTCACGGAGATGCTCCTCCAGCGTGGACATACCCGCCACAAGACGTCCCATTTCAAGAGAATTAATTAGAAGCCAAAAGTCCTTTGACATACCAGGAGTACATCATTCTGCATTGCGTCTGTTAGGTATGTGTGCAAAGTAATAAGGAATCATATACAACCTTGGCCTAAAATATTAGGTACATTCTTTCACGTTTTAGTTTAAAAATTGATTATATTATTTGCTGTGAATTATTCTTTTGTTTCAAAAAACCTTTAAATTTATGTTGGTAATTAATGGGACATATTACGGGTAAAAGAATTTTAGATTAATAAAAAAATATAGGTGCCTACACTGAAACAACAATTTTGTTGAAGAATCTAACTTGGCTAGATACGGGTCTGAAAATAATTTTGCTGGACCATCCAAATAATTTGACAGAAATCTTAAACATGACCAGCAATGCTATAAAATGTTTTAATACTCTAATAACCAATTTTGTTGTTCTACCTAATTGTTTTGATGGTGCAACAAAATTATTTTTCAGATCTGTATCCAGATAAATTTTTAGATTTTTCAGCAAAATTGCTCTTTTAGTATTATATTTTTAGCCAAGACTTCTAAACACAGATATTTATCATGATCAAGAAGACAATTAAAAAATATGCGAAATATACAAAAAGTCGATAAATTTCTATGAATACAATTATTATCTTGTGCGATCTTTAACGAAATTGATTAGAAGTTTCAATTTTGTTACTTTCCATGTGTCTGTCTTTGCAATATTCTATAATATCGTACTCCAGATATTTATTTATAGTTTTAACAAATAAAACAATTAATAAAAATATGTAAAATTATTGCCGATGTGTGAGCCAACATTAGTTGTTCGTGTAAATTAGCTTCGTGTAAAGTAACTTTATTAAAAATTATACAATAATATAAATAAACGTTTCGATCTTTCATTTAGGTCCTCATCAGTATAAGTTTAATCGAAGTACCAGAATTTATAAAAATGATACAAAAATGATCTGTGGGATGTACATTTTGAATAATATGAAAAAAATTCTATTCTCAAATATTCAAATTTTTTTGAAATGTTATATGAAACATAGTCAAATATTAATTATGTTCTTATAAAATAACAGTAAGAAGAGAAAAGGAAACAAATTTGTGACATACATATTTAATTATAAGATGAGCGAATTACACTGCATCGATTGATATATTAAATTGGCTGATTTACTGTTTAAAAGTAACTTTTAAATTAATAATTTAATCTCTATTATCATGTGTGTAAAAAATAATGTTATATGAATATAATAAATTATGTGAATGTATATTAAGTTGATCAGAATAAAACGTTTATTTCACTTATTTGATTATTATTTGGAGTACTGTGTTTTAACTTACATATTGACAAGATGTTAAATCGGTGTTAATGACTCGGTTGACATATAATGCGAAAGTCAGAAACTGTTGAGACAATAACGAGAGCAAAAACATATAGAAGAAGCTTCACGTCTTTATAAACCGATTCACATATAACGGGTCTAACGATAAAATATATAAACAAAAAATAAATATTTTATAATGACGTTTTTAATGATCGAGATATTAGCAAGTATTGCTGGCACAATGTGGAGTATCGCGATCAGAAATACGAAACCATTTTAATCTGATTAGTGGCGGTAAGACGATAAAATTTAATTATCCATTCTCAGGAGCGCGGCCGCCCCCGCTTATCCGTCGCTCCTCATTTCCAACGCCACAAGCGAAGAAAGCCGCTACTTCGTCTCTTTGCGGTACACCGAGTAAAGGGCTGACACGGCGCCAATCGGCTGAATCGGAAGAAGAAATCAGGATTGTCACTAACACTCTTCATCATCGCACCCGTCTAATTCGACGCCATTAAAGCGGCAAGAACAGGTGAAGATTACTAACCCTTTAAGGTCCAAATTATTTCTCGTAAATTAGTGAAAATCAAATATTTCGTCTGATATTTAATCTAATTAATAGACAATGGATATAATATAAATTAAAGGTTATTTTATATTTTTTATTTATTTTTATGTTGTATTAACATTGTAAACTAGAAATTTATTTTTTAAAAAATCTTATTACTGCTCGATTTAGACCGTTTTTTCTTTATACTTTACATTGCAAAAAATGAGCGAAATCTAATTAATAAATTAAAGAATTTTTATTATTTATCACACGGAGAGAACAATTTTATTGAAAAATCTAAAAATTCAACTAGATACAGATCTGAAAATCATTTTAATTACTGGATATCGAAATTTTTTTTCAATATAATCGTTTTCTCTGTATAGAAAAACTTATGGAGATCTCAAACCTATAATTTACTGCTTATAATCGTGCAATGATTCGAAAGACTACCGCAAAGTATAATACCGAATTCAATTAACGATCATCCAATTGTGACTGAGCTGATTAATCGTATCTAGAAGCATGATAAAATCTTGAATTTTCTTTGAAAGATAAACGATAGATTGTATGACAACAAACCCCCTCATATAAATCAATAAATGACCTCTTTTCAGTATAGATATATCAATCCATCAAATGCCTTGTATCTATACATCGGTAACAAAACTAACAGGATACACGTTTATTATTATAAGGTAATATTCTCTCACGTAATAATTCTTACACAATTAGATAAAGAGTTAACGTATCAACCACTTCAAAAGATATATAGATAGATATGTCACTTGTCAACAGGTAACTCGCAACGCACAATGATCCTATGATCTTCTTTTACGTTTGCGCAACGTCGAAAAATTTAAGGAACACAATTCTTCCGTATCTTCCAACGCATCCCTTACGGCGCGGCGGCTTCAATAGTGCTCCATTCCCACGACGCTTTTATATCAAGCTGCTCACTAAAGTTCTGCTTTCTAGCCAAGCAATTTTTGAAATATTTCAGATTGATTAATATACAGAATCAAATTTCAGGATCAAAAACTATCGCGTGAGCTACGGTGGAAAGCTGAATTGCTACACAGTACATGCCTGGACTAACATGTTTTAATAAAGTAATCTCTATTTCTTCCATATTCATCGCACAACGTGCTTTAAGGTCATTTAATCAAACGAAGTAACTGCAATCGATTTAATCGATCTTAACTTTTAATAAATTATTCTCAATCTTCTTATCGCGGAATAATATAACATTTTTAATGGACGTTTTAAAAATGTATAAGAAGTCAAATGTGTATTCTTAAATTCAACTGCAACTAAAGGTGCAATTTACTTGGTGCTATAGAAATACTTCGAAGTATTTCGTTGATCGAAAATTAATCTTCCTGAAGAAAAAGTTTCACTAATTGATCAATCAAAAAATGCGTTAAGCATTTATAGCATCAAGTAAACTGTAGCATAAGTAAATGAAGCAAAACTTTTGTTTGAGATAAAGTAAAGAAAAAAATATTTTTTTAAAACACTACTCTGATGTGTATGTGTACGTATGTGTGTGTGTGTGTGTGTGTATAAATTTTTTTGGAGGTATTCGAATTAAATAGAATATTATAAGTATAATGTGCACTCTCAAATTGACAGTACAACGACCGAACATCCTTATCCATGTATATCGTTTTCTTTAGCGATGCACCGGATCAAAAAATTATTGAATAGCGGATATCGGATGTCCAGTGTGTTATATTCTTTTCTAATATCCGATATCCGGTAGGACAATTATCCAACCGGATACCAAATATTTCCATGGATATCTGAAACAAAACTTCCAAAAAATAGTGTAAAGAAAAAAATAATAATTTTCTTTATTTTGCGTAAAAAAGATGAATTGTATAAAAAGTTTAGCTGAAAAGAATAAAATTCTTCCTCAAGATATTCAACTGTCCGACCGGATAATTTAAAACCGTGTACAAAGTATCTGGTGCTCTCTCAATTTTCTGAACGCATTCATTATTTCTTCAATACGTGTATTAATCTATTATACTCAATGAAAGAATTATAAAGATCATTTTTTGTCCGTACAAAAGTTATAATAATGAACTCTAAAAATATAAATATTGTAATTTTCTAAGATTATACATAAGATTAAAAGAATAGTTTCGATGTATTTTCGTAAAATATAATTGTATCTCTGGTTCGACGGATCTTCAACAAACTTACACAGCCTCATAATAAACTGATCATTGTCTCTCTTCCATGTGATATGTATATACAATCGGCGTCACACCAATGCGCAATAATGAATATATAGTGCATATACACATTATATTTATTGTAACTGAATGTTATGTTGGCATAGAGTTAACCACAGTTTTATTCATATTATAAAAACAACAAAAAAGGATTTTATTAAATTTAATTAAACCTTTTGAAATTGTATATTGTTCAGAATTCCGTGTTATATCACTTTATACCATAATATTCTTCAAATTCTTTAGTCAGTCTACGAGAAAATTAATATTTTTGTGAATTAAGTTATTTTTAGGCTTGCATTTTTAATTATTTTTTAAATTTTAGCCAATATGTTATTTCTTGAGCAAAATGTTATTGATTCAATATTGAAGATGAACAATTTTTTTAATAATATAAGAGAGAGAGAGAGAGAGAGAGAGAGAGAGAGAGAGAGAGGATATTTTAAAATAATATAAAATTAAACAATCCAAAATATGTTTTCTTTCTTCAAATTATTTGACAAAGTATGAAAAATAAAGGAATAAATTAGGCGTTATATTTCACGTTTAAATTTTTTAAAGAAATAAAATAATTTTTTTCATTTGTGGATTAACATTTATAATAATTAAAATTCTCATTTGTCCCTTGTGTGATTAAATCATCAATTATTTCTAATTGTTGGTAAAGTGGAAATTATCAGGAAGCATTTTGAGAGCAAAAACAGCGTGTATTTATCAATGCGCGCCATCTATCGAGCGGTGATGTTATTTATTCGTACTAAAAGTTACCGCTGCGGTTTACCTGATCCAACCTACCAAGGTTGGATCAGGTTGGATTTTGGTTATCCATTTCGATCCGTTCTGAAGAATAATAAAAAATATATGAATCAGCTGATATTTAACACAGGCTTCCTCTTGTGTTTACTTAACGTTGTAGATAATGTGATTCATCAAAGATAAATAGTTCCGATACATTTTATTACGTTGCAACTATTATCAGTGGAAGACAAAATGGAAACGGTAACTACTTCAATCTTTCGGAGATCTTTTGTAACTCATTATTTATACATTTGAGTAAACATTTTTATATGTAAAGTAAAATAAATATATATTTGAACTTTAAAGAGAAAGAAAGCGAAGATGCTTAGTACAAAAAGTGCAAGCAATGCGAACCAACTATTCTCTACTATATTAATGTTATATACAATTGGTCACTTAAGTAATTATCCAAATTGTATTCCTTAGATGCATTGGACAATATATATTCAACTATTTACACATATATTGTTTTCCTTTTTCTCTATAAATTTTACTTATGAAAAAATATATAAGTAATTATTATTTTTTATACTTTAAGTCTAACAAGAGAGAGATTTCAACTACATTAAGGAAAATATTGGCAGTAGATGCCTATTTAACAGATGAGTTTGTCAAATTAGTGGAAAAAATTTTACCTTTAAAACAACTGAAAGTGCACAACAAATTATTGGAGGTATAAATATTTCTTTCTTTCTTTATTAACTGTTACAAACTTCTCTAATAATATTAATTATTTTTATACATTAATTATCTTTATATCTGTAGATATCATGTCACGGTATCCCATGGCTTGCAGTATCTCTTGTTTCAATTTGGGTTTTTAACATCAAATCCTTGTATCAAATGCAAACGAACCTTCTAATAGGTAAAATTTAAATAAAATTACGATCAATGGCGAGGTTAATCCCGTTGTTGATGCCTATCTTTACTGTAAATAATTTTAAGATGTAATAATTATTATTGTAAAATCTATTTAGCTTGATTTAGATCATTTTTTAATCATTTAATTAAATAAAAATTCTATTAAAATTGATTCACTTATAAGATTGATTGATTCAGATACATAAATAGAAAAAAAATCATTTCAGGATTATTGCTCGACATCATAACAGTTGCTGTACTCAAGGCAGTTACAAGAAGGAGACGACCAACCATTAATGATGATCCATTCTCTTTGGGTCCTGATAAATATTCTTTTCCATCAGGACATGCATCTCGTTCTGCATTTGTTGTATATTTCTTTATCAATCTATGGCCTATATCATTGATATACACACCACCATTGTTGGCATGGTCCTTTTCTGTATGCATGTCCAGACTACTGATGAGAAGACATTATATGTTGGATGTGTTTGGTGGTGTACTTCTAGGTATCTTCCAGGGTCTACTTATAGGTTATATTTATCTGGAACAAGAGACATGTATGTATTTAATTTCATGGATTACGGATGATAAAATACCTGGGTCTGAATAGTATTCATATTATCGTGATATAAAAAATGTATTGAATTCTTTATACTTATAATTTGTATAATTAGCTTTATTTTTTATTAATACTAAGATAATGTTAATTAGAAAAATCTACAAGTTCAGAATATTCATAATTATACAATGTAAATAAAATTATTTTGTCAAATTTTTTCCAAGAATATTAAAATATTTGTATATCACATGTACTTTCTTTTTTATTGATAATTAATCCGATATTATAATCAGCACAATAGTTTACAGCAAAAAAAATTTTCTATAAAGAGAGATCAAAGATAAATTATGCAATTTTTTAGAACTAATTCAACCAATTGAATTGGTTGGCAATTAAGAGAAAGGAATAAAAGAGTTATTATTATTTTTTCCGTTAATTATTTATTTAATTTCTGCCGCTTTCACTCTGGGGTGGTTCTAGGATCTCGCATTCATCATTTCAAGAGATTACTAGAGTTTAAGGGGACGGGACGTACTTTTGTCTTACGAAAGAATCTGGACTATGGACTTTGGAAGAACCTAGATAAATCTAGAAAAGCGTGAAAATAGTCATGCCAGTTTTCTAATTGCAAAATTCCTTCGCGTATACTAGCATCAACTGAAAAAGAGGCTAATTATATATACCTTTGACTATATACCTCTGGATTGCTAGTAAATACTGTGATTGCTAGTTACCCCCACTTTTCCTATCTTTTCCATAAGATAGAAAGAGAGGACCATGTATCCCAGAGAGAATCAAAAGAGTGGAGCGGATGCACCGGAAGTCGCCATTTATTGTCCGAGATATTAAAGGCTTCTTTCACCAATCGCGTCTGTCGTCAAAACTAAATGATAAATGCGATTGGTCAATTCCAATGGACTAATCGTCGATTAAGTTAATCGGCGTTGGTGAAAGAGACCCTAAGCGTTAAAGTTGACAAAAGCTGTCACTAACCGTCACATCGGTCAGCCTGTTCTATGAGTATCTCACTTTAAGGCTGCGCAGAATAAAAGGAATAGGGAACAGAGAATAAGAATTTCAACCTATCAGAAATCATGTACTATGGAATACACACTGTTTATTCCACAGTATATGATTTCTGATAGGTTGAAATTCTTATTCTCTGTTCCTTTTATTCTGCGTAGCCCCTAATACAATACTAAATACATGAACATTTGCGGAAGTAGAACTATAAATGCCGGAACCAATCAGAAGAGAGAACACTATCCGCTCCACTCTCCCTTGATTCTCTCTGGTAAAGAGATCGCCAACTTGATCACGTGACCAACTTCGTGATTGGCTGGAGGAAATGAGCAGACTCGCTGTTATTGGTGTATTCTTTTAGATCATCCAATCAGAATTTTAGATCTGGAAGAATAAATAACAACGAGCGCTCACTCAACTGTTGAGTCCGCTCAACGTGCCCAATGGCAAGTACTGTTCTAGGAGAAAAGTGAGATTTATATTGGCTATCGTTACTTAACGATATTGACAACTGTCAGTAGATGTATACAGAATATGGGCCTAGGTTTCCAATCTGTATCTGTTCCGCGAAATCTGTGTAAGCACGCAATCATGAATTAAATCGCATCTCAACAAACTGCGAGAAGCTGCGAAAAGCGCAGTTTTCCCGGAAACGCAACAAACACGATCGACAAAAGGTGTTACGTTACGATGTACTTATTTTTGAACATTGAGCTTTTCATGTCAGCAGCTCGCAATAGCATAGTAGTGCACAAAGTGTTTCGCTTGTTGCACAGTTACCAGGACGACTAACGTGCTTGTGTCCGTCTGTTTCGCCGTGCGTGTGTGACTGTGTGCGCCGCGTACCTCTGCGGTGTAGCATGTTAAGAGACCGATCATTATTATTGGGACGCAATTCTCGTGTCAACCTCATGTCGCTCCGATGTCTCGCAACGACGTAGTGTGAAGAGAACTACCGTGCGCATCATGGACTATCCAGTGTTGGATCTCTTCGATTCCTCGATAGAACCTGATCACGTCAACTGCGAAGAGGAACAAGATCTGCTTTGTAAGTACCCTGTTTGTCACGGATCCGCGTCACGCGCCAAGAAGCGCGGGAGAGCCGCCTTCGGTGGAAGAGCGCCGGAATTTCTTCGCCGCATGCATTACTCTATCTGCGCTTGACCTTCAACTGTTCCTCGCATCGCGTCCGCTTCTACTTTCCACGACATTCATTTGCTTTCGAACGTTTACGTGCGGAGTACCGCCAAGAATATCAGCTGGCATCAGCTGTTTCTCCAACATGCACGAGCGCGAAGATCGTTTTTTATTATCTCCAAGCTTTAATCCAGTGATACGAAAACCCTTGAAGCAAAAACGGCTTAATTGTTTCTTGATATTCTACCTTGTATATATATTGCTTATTTGCTCACAATAACGACATAATTAAAAAATTGTTATTTTTATTATCTTGCAGAAAAAGAGTAAAGAAATAAAGAAGAAACATACTTTTTTTATTGCTTCACAATTTAGTTATTACACCAAAGTTGTGCTTTTTAACGTTAGTATTACAAAATTTTTGTGATTTAAAACATTCAAACTTATTTTCTAGAAAATTTTCTGTGTTTTCTGTATGTCGTAAATGAGTAAATATACAACCTTTGCTTACGTAAAAAAAATTGTTTTGGATATTTGTAATCTATATCTATGCATATATACTCTTGAAGAGCATGTATGTATTTTGTATTTTTTTATCACTTGCATGGCTTATTTTTAGAAATTGCCTTTACAGATAACTTCATCGCATTTTGATAAGAATTTAAGTTACATAAAAATTTACAAATTGTCAAAATATTTAAATTATTATTTTACATTTTATATTTGTATTTAATTATTTATGTCAATTGCAAATAAAAAGAAAATGTTGCTAAACTGCGTTATATAGTAAGAAAGAAATATCTTTCTGCTTTTGGAATTATGTGCATAAAAGAAAGATATACAACTTTTGACTGATTAATTCTCATTCCAGGGGACGATTGTAATTATGTCGTACCTGGAGGTGAATACGTACGTGCGACAGAGCAGTTTGGAGAAGACTTTTCCGGGGCTGAATTTCATGAAACTAGAACATTGCTCGCTGATGGCGGAGATAGATTTGGAGTTTCCACTGCCACTTTCGACACGATCGAAGAACTTATGTGGATGGGAAATCAAGGGGTATATTATTGATACTATTTATTTATATCAAAAGATTTTTTAACTGAACTTTTGCACCAGTTTATTTTCCTCTTTTCTCTCCAGAAGATTAAAGGAAAAAAGATGAACTGGTGCAAAAGTTCAGCCAAAAATGGGAGAGACAGGCTTAAATTTTTTATTTATTATATCAATATCTATTATAATTTAATAACAATTTATTGTAGGGTCACGTAACATCCTACTATGGGCCTGGTTTACAAAAATATACCTCTTTTCAAGTCCATGCAACGCAGGAGATACGACAGATTCATACTATAGATGAGGGTATCTTAGTATTGTCTCAGAGTCAATTGAGATGCCAGTTACGGAGAGGCATACCTATATTTACTCATACGTATGTTTACATTTTACATTAGCAATGTTATCCATGAATTTGAGCAAACCTAGATTCTTATAGGTCGGTGAATATGAACGACATGCAGTGTATGTTGCAAATTTCTCCAGCTAGACTACTCATGGGCGGACATCAGGATAAAATAATTGATTTTAACCTTACTAGAGGAAAAGAGACTGGATTAGTAAGAATCTATCAACTAAATGTTAAATTGATTCCGAGTACGAGATGCGATGGCTTTATGGCCTGGATTTTCATTTTTTTATTGACTTGTGGTTAAGCTTAACTGCAAGTTTACTAGATAATGTGAGAAAATTATTAAATTTAGGCCTATGCTATTTGTAGGTGGATGTAGATGAGAATGGTTGTGCGATATTGAGACAACATAGTAGGCTTATATGTGCTGGTAATCCTGCAGGAAGAATAGATCTCAGGGATCCAAATACATTATCAATAGAACATACTTTGGATACACACAGTGGTTCCTTAAGTGATTTTGATGTTCAAGGAAATTATCTTGTTACATGTGGATTTAGCAACAGGTGAGGTATAAGATAATATTAGAAAGTTTTTAATCATTTTTTTATACTTAACACACATACATTATAATTATTTATGAATTATATTATTTAGTCGTCAGGGTCTTACCGTCGATCGATTTTTAATGGCCTATGATCTGAGACAAATGAGAGCATTAAGTCCAGTCACAACTATGGTATATCCTCTTTTATTGAAGTTCCTACCAAGTTATTCCAGTCGGCTCGCAGTGGTATCGCCACTTGGACAAATGCAATTACTTGATACAATATATGCTAATGTACAACCTTCAGTGACTTGTTTATATCAGGTAAATTTATATGTAAACGAACAAAAAATTTAAAATAATTTTTTAAAATAGATGATATAGAGAATAAATACAGAAATTGTGTCATATGTTATTAGGTTGCTACTGGCGGTGCGACGATATTATCATTTGATGTAGCTTCTACATCTCAGTGTCTTTGCTTTGGAGATTTGGCGGGCTCTATACATTTAATGTCCACTAACACCCCGGAACCTCAATTTAATACATTTTCTAGGTTGGTAATTATTTTAATCAATTTTGATCCAAATTAATTTTTATATACTAAAGTAATTGACACGTATAATTTATGTTACATATATAAAATTAAGAGGACATATACGTTTGGAGCCTCAAAAAAAGGCATTCTTCATGAATTTTTTTTAGGACCAAGAGACAAATTATAAAAATGGGACATTTTGCAAAATGTGTTGTAACTTCTTTACTTATTGGAATTTTAGGAAACGGTTTCACGACAACATTTTTGAAGGTTTAAACTGTCAAAAAATGCATTAAAGAAAAAATCGATTTTTTGAAACGTATATGCCCCCTTAGAACAATTAGGAGATGAATACAAAGATTAGAAAGAATAAAATATATATTAGGTATGGATTTTTT